TTGAATGATCACAGTGACTCATCCTCTGTGGCAACAATACAGTGGCTTCGCACAGTGGCTGCTGCTTTAGCTAGTTACAGATCAGGTTAATTCCATTAACTCATACTCAGAGACTTAACTTGTCCAATCTGTCTGGTAGCGCAAAGGACCATCTATTTTTAGCTGGTTCAAGAAGGGGAAGGGGGAGAGAGGGAGGCAAGGAAAAGAAAAGAAGGTCCAGACATGTCATAGCAGAAAATGTTCAGTAAAACCATTAATTTCACAAAATCTTTCAGTTCTATTTGAGATAAACATGAACTGAAAACACTGATCTGTATTTATTTTGTCACTGTGAATTTTAATATGCGTGAGACCGCGGACTTGGATGTCTGAACCTTCTAATCATTAACCTATAGAAAGGCTGAGGAGAGGGGAGGAGGGAACAGCACCTCTTCTTCACCCACCAAGAGCTTGTTGGAAGGTGGGGTGCATCTCCTCTTCTCCTCTCTCTCTCTCTAAGAGCATTAACTGTAGAGCGTTTTGGTAGTGACAGGGCTGTCAGGGTCAGATGGCTGCTCAGCCTGATTAGACCAGTTCACAGCAGATCCAGGGCCCAGCACATGGCAGTGCTACAGTAAACTGGGACAGAGCTGCAGGTAGTTGCAGCTTCACAACCAGATATTTCAACTTCTGGCAGCAGAAAGACACTGCAAACACAGGTGGATTTTACTGTGACAAAGAGGCAGAACAACTGATGTTTAATATATGTTTGGAGATGACACTGACGAGCTAAGCGGTAAGAACACACATTTAATAGAGATTTTGTTTGTTTTGTTACTTTTAATGCCAAATAAAAACAAAATAATATTTGGCAAAGGTTCCAGTTGCTGTCACAGAGGCAGGAGTGTGGCACCCTGCTTCAACAAGGTTTGTAAGTTTTGAGAACTTAATTTAAAGTGACAGATGAGGACTGTAGATGTTCATTTCCACAGCAGTGCTGCTACAGACAGACAACAAGCTGATCACAGAACTTCGCTGGACTAGGCAGTGAACAGGAGGACAGGGGTGTACTAACACTGGAGACTGTTGTCTAAAATTTGATGTACCCCAGAATCAGCTGCGAGTATAGATACAGCTATAAATACAGCTGCAGGTATTCCGTGTCTGGGTTTACTATAACAGGCAGTCAGCTGGTTGCATGTCAGTGCTCAAACTGTTGTAGACTCATTGCTTCTTCAGGACTCTGGTATAACTGCCAGTCAGTGGTTTGTGGGTTTCCCTGCTCAGCAGCCAAACTGTCTACTGAGTTTAAATGGGATTAAACTTGTTTGCGGCAACTACTGGCCTGTCTTGTTGCTATTTTATCTACTAACCTACAAGTGTGTATTCAGCCTGGCATTGCAATTACTGTAAAAAGGTTTGGCAACTTAACAGGGTGCTAAAATAATACTGAGATCCATTTTTAACTTCTTTGGGTCCTGATTCTACGGTGGCCCTGAGAGCTCAATGCAATGCAACTTCAGAAAGCATATGCAGATAAACAAAACGCTTGAGAACAGATGTGCGACATTTAGAAAACATGGCAAATACAGAAAACACATCAAATACACAAATGCTGCAAATGGTACAGACTATGACAGAAATGTATTCTCAGTGTATATGTATAAGCTGCGGTGCACTGAGCTCATAGGGCCACCGTAGCTAGATAGCCAACTGGGGATGCACCTATTTTTATAATCCAGACTGTGCTTCTAGGTAACAGGGAAGACTGGCTTTATATTTTCAGCTGGAATTACTGCTATTGTCCAGCCATTTCCCCCATGCTCTTTATGCTTTATGTTGTTTTTATATTTAAGCCACCCTGCTTTATCTATGAGCTTAAACAAGATAAATTCCTATTTATAGATTGTCAGCAATCGGGGGTAGACTGCACTCTTCTGGAAGAGTGAATGAATGTGTAAGCTGGTGATTATAAAGTGAAAGTGTGTGCGTGTGTGTGTTTGTGTTTGTATTGTCTGAGGTGAGGAGGTGACCACCGATTACCCAGAATGACTTGGGGCTTTTCCTGGCTATTTTCCTGAATGTTTGGGCACATGAGTAGGTGCAGGGCTACACCCTTGACTACCTTCCTTCATATTTACCTCTGCATGCTGTCATCACCCCCAATTCTGAGAACTACTACTGGATATTATATCTCAATCCTCTACTATTAAACAAAAAGATAAACTAGAATTACAATTGCAATTTGCATTTTTACTGAGCTGCTGCCTGTCAGCAAACATGAACTAGTACAACTTTCTTGCACGGCACTATATTTCTCAATTCTAAGAGAAACTTCTGTTCAAGCGAGTACATAAAATAACTATATAAACCACTACTTTTTAGATTTTATTTTCAATGTTTTTCAAATAGAATTTTATTGATAGTATGCAGGCTAGTATAATACAATACTCTATATTTGCTGAGCTCCATCATATATTAGATTTTCTACTTCACAATGTATCTATCATCTGCTACATACCTTTCTTGTCTGTTCTTCACAGACACTTTTGTACATGTCTGTTCTTTTATGTTGCACATGAAAATGTTCACCAAGACAAAGCAAAGTCAGACGTTCCTTGCAAATACTGTATCATTAATTTTGGTGGTGGCATTAGGCAAAATGTTTGAATTACCCACAATGATTTATTGTGGGCCATCTTGCCAATAAGACATCTTTGCAAACTCCATAAAACCTCTAAGCTTTTTAGGACTAAAACATCATCCATAAAATAATGAATGTGCTGTTTCATTCTACAAATACCTGAAGTGATCATGAGACAAATATGCCAGAATCTTGGTGGCTCACTATACCTCCTCTGCTTAACAATTTCCTGAGGGAAATCCTGTATAATTTTATAAAGTGGCTTCAGTAAATGTTTTTGTACTGCTAGAACAAATGCTGACTTACTGAAATCTTATTTGAAACAGTTTTCATTACCCTAGAAGTTGAATGTTTAACCTGTTTGTTCTTCTGTATGTTTATTTCTTTAGACTCACTGGTTGATGGAGTTTGTTCGACGTAGTGGTGACTACTGCCATGCCCAACACATTTAGATCCTATCTGAGATGAAGCTGCAATTTGCAGTCCTGGGGCCCTGAACCCTGAAAGACCACTGACCGTTGCCCTCTGAACCAGCCAGTTCATGTGATAACAAGTTGAGCCTTAACTGGAAGCTAAATGGAGAGAGAGAAGGAAAGAGACTGAAAACGACAAAAAGAGAAAGAGAGAAGGACTGAACAATCAGCGAGATAAAACAAAGAGACAGACACAGAGTGAGCTGACACACTGTAGCCTCCTGGACTATAAGATGCAGTCAGCTGATGGGGTAAAATAGTCAAGACAACATGACCTCAGAATGGGGATACTACTTTAAACTGCTATAAGCAAGAAGTTGCACAACACACCAGGAGACCTGATATAAACTGAGCACAAAGCAAATAACTTCTACAGCTGGCACTATAGGTGAGGGGTGACTGGTCACAAGGTCTTGGCTAAATATAGTGATGCATCAACAGTTTTTAAGTCCTGCACTTTTCTGACTTGTTGGGCAGTCCAACTTTGTCTCGTTACAGGATTGTGCAATAGCTGTTTAGCTTAGAAATACATTATGTTCCTGATTTTAGTGCTGATTTTTAGAAGTTGCCTTAATTGTAATAACACAGGTGATTTTTTTTCTCTCAGGCCTGAAAATAATGTATTGACAAAAGACAGTTGGCTTCTAATTTCAACACAACAGAAAACAGAAACCTCCATGCTATAGCCTACTGTGACGTGAATAAGTGGACATAATTGGCTGAGTTTATTCACATTTAATGTCTGAATTTTAAGATGAAATTTTCCTTTAATTTCTCTTGAAATTTCTTACGTAGACTAGTGTTTCTAGTTATTCTCATTGATCAGACCAGGTTGAAGTTATGAGGAGCTACGCTAGGGAGTAACATGAGGTCATCAAACCCCCTGTACCACTAAGAATGTTAAAGATGTAATTTCTACCCATCCCAGAAGGTGCAACAAGACAACGTAATCAAGGACATTCACATAGTCCAGAGAAAGGGTATAATCAAGTAAATAAATGAAAACACCTGTCAGGAAGGTGGGGGGCTTTCTTGTGAACAATATTGTCCTATAACTAGCTGTTGCTTTCAGTTGCTTTCACTTATTTTTATTGTGTGAGTTTTGAGATGTTTTAAATTATTTAACATTTTTAGAAACCGCTGATTTATGTCAGATTAAAAGTTTGATACTCTCAGTGGTTGATGTGGAACCTGAGCCGGCAGTTTGTTAGCTTATCATAAAGACTGGAAGCAGTGGGAAACAGCTTTGCTCTGTCCAGCCTTAAATTAATCTACCTGCTAGCACCTCTTAATGTTACTAATTATCACTTTGAATTTTATTCATTTTTACATGTTCAGAAAAAAAAGATACATTTGTGGTTTTACATGCTGTAAGCATTTTTCCCCATCACATCCAGCTTTTACGCTAAGCTAAGCTAAACTAAGCTATTCTCCTCCTAGCTTTAGATTTCTATTTAGCATACAGACCTAGAGAGTTTGTTTTCCCCAGAATATTGAGTTGTTCCTTTAAGACTGTAACAGGTCATTTCAGATTTTGAAATGCTCCCTAAAAGAGCTGAGCTTTTAATGTCTGGGCAGGTTCTGTTCAGAAGGCATCAAAGATACACATGGTGATAGTTTGTGAGCAACAATCAAGACAAATCTGGAAATTTCCATGTGATGTAAAACACCTGACACTTTGTTGTATATAGTTATAGTTTTTTGAGACCATGCAGGGTTTTTCTTTAACTTGTGTATTAATAGGTGTTGTAAAGACTAATTTCTCAGAGACTTACAAATGTGCCTCAAATGAAATCCTATTAATTTTGAAGTTATAGGTGTGTACATTTCTCCCTGACACTGAGCTTATGACTAACAATGAACTGCTAACACACAAGGGTCATCCTGGGATCTCGAAGGTCACACTGGCCATCATGAATCGTCCAGCTCCAGTCGAACTGTGCCACAAGAACATGAGATTCCTTATCACACACAACCCCACAGACAGCACGCTCAGTTCCTTCATGGAGGTAAGAAATATGTGAGCGCTTCATAAACATAAGACACCCATACACATATACATATTCACATACCTGACCTAAGGATTGTATGTATTGTTTCCTCTGTTGCTGATGTGAGCTAAAACAACTACTCTTCATACATAAATGTCACTAAACTGAGATTCTGCTTCTACCGCTGTTGTCTCTTCCAGGACCTGAAGCGATATGGTGCCACCACTGTGGTTCGAGTCTGTAATGCCACTTACGACAAAACTCCACTTGAGAAAGATGGTATAACTGTAGTGGTGAGGATACAGCATAGCAATATTCACTCTAAATCGCCCATTCTGTGTCAAAACACAGAGTGCCAGAGATGTTCTCCTCCACTTTAGGACTGGCCCTTTGACGATGGAGCCCCGCCCCCCAGTAAGCTTGTTGATGATTGGTTAAGTCTGCTGAAGAAGAGGTTTCAGGAAGATCCAGGATGCTGTGTGGCTGTCCACTGTGTGGCTGGACTGGGAAGGTAAAACCAGATGCACACACCTTGTTGTATGAAGTGCCCCTAAAAACATACATATGCAGAGAAGAGATTAACTAAGAAGGAGATGAAAACTAAATAAAACCTATGTTTGTGAAATGATCACTTATATGGGTTTCATATTGCATACAACAACAAAGAAAAAAACACACACTTAAAATGACTGTGAATGTTTGTGTTTTTATGCATTCAAACAGGGCTCCTGTGCTGGTTGCTCTGGCTCTAATAGAAAGCGGGATGAAGTATGAAGATGCCATTCATCTAATCAGGCAGTAAGTACATGTCTATGCTATATCCTGTGTGTTTATCCTCATGCAGATATAACAACATATCCCCGAGTTAGAGCCTTTGTGTTTCTAAATACATATATAATACTTTAGTTTAGTCTTTTTTTAACATCATATCTGCTGCTGTTGGTCATTTGCACTACTCCATATACATTTCATAAGCTATTATGCATCCCATCACCAACGCCCCTGGTGATGCTGACCACCTGACCATCTTCTTGTTATTATTTGCACTACTGTCACTGTTTGCACATGGCTTTGAGTTTCATCATAACCTTTTAGGTTGTACCATTTAGTTTATCCTTATTACTTGAATTCAATTTTCATATTCTATTTATTCTGTGTTTATTCTACTTTTATTCTATTTTAGCTGCTTAAATTGTATGGGCATTCAAACAGTATTTCGATTTTTCTGTATGTCCTGCACATATAGTGAACTGACAATAAAAATCTTTGATCTTTGACCTTTATCTTTAGCAGGAAGCTTTTTATGATAAATTACAATGTGATTATTATACACACCTGAACAGATGAAACAGTTGGAATGTCTGTTTCTTATTTTAATACAAGAAACCTGTAGGTAATATCTTAAGCAAGCTTAACGTTGTTAAGGAAAACATCTTTACACCGCAAACAAAATGTATATACTGGTATGGCTAGTTTGTGATGACACTGTGTAGTTCTTCACATTTTCATTCTCTTTATCTTCCCGCTTCTTTCTGGCATTCTTCTCAGCTTTTGCCTTCTTGTGAATATTTAGGTATTTCTGCCATCAAAAACAGCTGAAAGTGTTTACATACAAAGGAATAAAAAAACAAACAGTGAGAGCATTGAGGATGCAGTTTTCAGGTTCCTACCTAAACACTGTATTTAGAAGTTTATTTATAAAATAATAGACAAAATCCATTTTTAATTAACCATAGTAAGGAAGAAAAATGCATAATGGGTCCATATTTTCCAAAAGGACTCTACAACAGAAACAGTAGTGGATGCAGATACAGGCAAAGAGAACTGGATTGTACAATAAGGGAGTGGACATACAGAAGCTATTGGTAATCAGTGTTCATAAAAAGACCGAAAGCAGCATTGTAAAGGGTAATACTGTTGACTTCAACCTTATAACATAAGTGTGTTTTTATATTTAGGAAACGTCGTGGAGCCATCAACAGTAAACAACTGACTTACCTGGAGAAATATCGATCCAAGCAGAGACTCCGCTTCAAAGATGGAATCTATTAATATCCTTTGAAATCAATACTCTAAGTTGATGCATTTTTTACAGTATTTTTGTTGGTGTCTGTTCTCAGAGAAAAAACTGATATAAGGGCTCAGTTTTGCCTCAGCTTTTTCTGCACTTTTGTCTACAATCATATGAAACTCAGCTTCTGCAGTGCTACATACATTGTCTTTTGCTTTGGCACAATCACAGTTTTACTACTACATCATATATTGTGTTTACACATCTGTGTGTGCATTATATTATGCTCTGTTTACTCAAACCTACAGAAGGACACTTACTGGTTAGCAGCAGCTGACTTCAAGCAAGATTAAACATACAGTAGTACCTATAAATATGAAATGTTAATAATCACACATTACATAAGTTAAAAAACAACCAGGAGATGTAAACTAGATGTAAATACTACAGTATTCAATAAGGGATCTTTAATGATCACTTTCTTCTGTAGGGTGGATATGAACCACTCCGCCCATTCACTGACCACATAAATGTGCAAAGAACATGAAATCATTTATGGTATTACAAATATTTTTATTACTCATGTGGTCAGGGAGGACCATATCAGCAGTTGATGATACTGACTCAATCTTTTTTAATCCCAGGCCATTTTTGGCCTGATATGTGGATACACTGAGATATTGATCTAATCTTAGCACAAATATTGCTGTGCGCCATCATGTCTTTAAGCTAGGTTATAGTATCTGACATATGTTTGTGGGGGTGGAGTTTTCTTATTCATTTGTATTGTTCTTAAATGATGAATCTAAGCAACTCCTTTTGACAGTTCTTTCATTTTCAATGAACATTTTATATGTTTTGCAGACAATAGCGCATGCACTTTTTATTTATTAGGTTTCTCATGACAACCTCCTAATCATCTCTCTTATGAAAAACATCTTCATCCTGAACTTATGTGCTTAACAACAATTTCTGAGTGCACAAGGTGTAAAAACAAAGAAGCAGTAGAGAGGAAAGGGCTCAACCATCTTTATGTTAAAACGTAACTTTTTAAACAAACTGGCTACAGTTTTGTCTACTTGTTCATATGAGGTGTATACATGTGCTTGTTTGAAGATATCTATGTGAGTATATTTGTAGCCTTTATTTATCCTTGAATATTGGACTGGCCTGGGCTGACACTTTTTTAATGTAAAACATTAAATGCTATAATTGTTTGTAAATTTCTGCACTGCTTAATAAAGGTTTTGACATTGTATATAGTTTTTCGGTTTCAATTGGTTTTGTGACATTATTAAGTTCTATTTACTGGAAATTATAAAACAGAAAACCACAAACATACTGCATACAAGCAAAACCAAGGAACTGCTTGACCTCAGTGACAGTGGATGGGCCTTGGCATTCGATTACCATCCTAATATGACTACATGAAGCACATAATTTTAGCATCAAAGCTGACAAAAATAATAAAATTGTAAACATTTATTTGCCTTAATAGTAAAATGTTTCTGCATTTGATTTATTTGTGTTTAACTCTTTGCTTCTTCATCTAATCAAGTTTTGAGTGCATGTTCACTTATGTGTCAAACAGGAGTTTCCAGTGCTTCTTGGTAGAACTAAACCACTGTGCTGGTGGAAACCTTGTACTAAGGAGGCATATTCAATTAACTTAGGCTGCCACATAGAGGCTTCTGTATATTCTGATGCTTCAATTAACTTCCTCTATTTAGGAGGACATGTAAAAATATATTGTATCTAGCAGCAGTGAGCTGTAAAATGTTTTTTCCCACAATCTTTATTGTTAATAATTGGTTATCAAAACAAGCTGTCTGACATACAAGAACATTTTGAAGACAGTGAAGGTAGTTATATGAGGTAAATATTATTAGGAAGTACAAGTAGGGGTCTATTCTCTCTGTAACCTGCAACATAAAAATGTGCATGGTCTAATTTGTGCCTCAATTTTTTTCCTTTCTTTTTTTAAGTTTAGCAGCAAGTATTTAAATCACTTATTGATCATGCCATTATTTAAATTATGGAGAAGCTACTTGTCTAGGCCCACAAGATTTTCCAGGCAAATAAATGTAGGCCTGTTTAACAGAAAAACATCTCTGTTCATTGCTTTTAGAAATCTTTCAGCCATGATTTAGCTGTTTTCTTGTTACCTTTCTATAATGAATAATTTTTTTTTCACAGTTCTCATTACCCTCATTATATGTGGTATAACCTATATGAGGATATGATTTGTATTTGTTGTTGTTGCATCATCAATGTTTCGTTAGGGCCGTGGTTCTCAAAGTGTGGGGCGCGCCCCTTTAGTGGGGAATAAAGCCATGACAGGTGGGGCGCAATGAACGGAGAACATTGGAAATGGGTCATTAATACAAGTAAATTAAAACAACATCAGTTCGGGGCCTGGGAGAAAAAAGTGGAACCCTATTGCAACAATAAGGGTTTAACGTCGGCAGGTTAACTGCAGACACACTTGTCCAAAGGGTTGTACCCTTGTGTGAGAAGTAAAAGTTATTACGCAGGCACACACTGATTTATTTAGCCAAAAACATGCCGCCTGCAACAAATTCATTAACACTTCTACATTTGAATTTGGTTTTCCTTTGTCCAGGCCCCCTCAGCCCCCTCCTCAGTGCCTCAGCCCCAGTCAGTCAGTGAGTCTTCTGCTCCGTCCAGGCCTGTTTGCATTCTGGTGGACAGTCGCTGCATCAGTAGTGGAGTGGAGCTGATAACCAGCCTGCATCAGCGCCACACAGTCACCATACAGGTCTGCTCACTGGACTGCGACTACTTCATCATCAGCAACCGCATGGCAGTGGAGAGGCATAGCCAGTCAGATTTGGCTGCGATGCACAATGGGAAGCGATTGGCTGAAAGAATGAACAGCTTGCAGGGACTGTTTGAACTCATTTGTCTGATTGTGGAGAAGGACCAAACCAAGTTCAAACTGTGGCCGAAAGGTCTCCGGTGCCTGTCGCGGCGGCAATCCTTGAAGCCAGTGGTGGACACCGGGAGGAAGGGATGCCGTCAAGCTGAGGAAGGAGTTCTTTTGAGCCTGGTTGGCTCGTGGGACACCTGAGGCAGCTGACAGGTACCAGCAGGACAAGCGGACTGCAGCCCGGGTGGTTGTGGAGGAAAAAATTCGGGTCTGGGAAGAGTTCAGTGAGGCCATGGAGAGGGACTATCGGTCAGCCTCGAAGAAATTCTGGCAAACCATCTGGTGCCTCGGGGGGGGGAAGCAGTGCCCTGCCAAAACTGTTTACAGTGGAGGTGGGCAGCTGTTGACCTCAACTGGGGACATTGTCGGATGGTGGAAGGAATACTTCGAGGATCTCCTCAACCCCAGCATCATGTCATCATCATCATGGCAAGGCACCAGGGGTGGATGAGATCCGCCCTGAGTACCTTAAGTCTCTGGATGTTGTGGGGCTGTCTTGGCTGACACGCCTCTGCAATGTCGCATGGCGGTTGGGGACAGTGCCTCTGGACTGGCAGACTGGGGTGGTGGTCCCTCTTTTCAAGAAGGGGGAC